CGGTGACGGCTTGAGCCGAGCGGGTCTCTCTCTCTCTCTCTCTCTCTCTCTCTCTCTCTCTCTCCTCTCTCTCTCTCTCTGACTTTCCTCGCTTTTCTAGACTTTTCGCGTTCGCACAAGGCCTCTCCACGCCCAGAAATAAATGGTCTGTGTTTCCTCGCGGTCGGAACGCGACGGTCTAGCGACGGCGACGCGTCGCGGTGCGTGCGTATATCGCGGATAATTAGTGCTGGTCACACCTGCTTACCTGCTCACTGTATCGCTGTGCGGGACGCGGCACGGCGCGGCATGGCACGGCACGGCGCCCCCTGCACCTGCATTTCCCCGCCGCACCTGTAAGACAAGAGCAGAAACAGGTTTACCGTGATTGGCCGACTAAGTGAGTGTGTGTGAGTGTGTGTGCGTGGAGCGCCACACAGACTTTGTTCACAGTGGCCCCGGAGGTCACCGTAGTGCTTCTTGTCGTGGGTCGCGTCGTGCGCCTCGCCCATTTTCGGCCACCCCTACGGGCCGCGCCATGAGTGCGAGAGAGACAGAGCGACGAAAACGACTCTCGGAATCAGTCTAAGGTACTGAGGCGGCCGCGGCCTGAGGCAACCGCCTGGCCGCGCCGCCGCGCCTCGGCCCCCGCGGCCACGCGGTAGTGCTTTCGGCGCTCTGTCTCTCTCGCACTTACGAGGCGGCCCGTAGGGGTGCGAGAGAGACAGAGCGCCGCCGACCCTTCGGACCTCCAGCCGCTCGCGCGTATGCTAATAGTCCGGGTGGAGACACCTGCATGCACGCACGCCGTGGCACCATGGTGGCACGCCGCCCGCTGCTGCCTGCCTGCCCGCCTCGCCTTTCGCTCGCTGGGGGGCGCGGCCCGCCAGCCGGCCAGAGCCAGCCAACACGTGCCAACTTGTACCCGCGAAAAGGCTGTCCGGCCGAGTTTGTCGCGGCCAGCCCGATGCAGTGGACCAGCAGTTCCATTCCGAAAGCTTTGCTCCTCGCACCGGGACCACCCGAGACTGAGAGAGAGGCAGCGACGAAAGCCACGCCAGCAGTTGCGCGGAATCAGCCTTCGCGGTACCAATCACTATTGAACTGACCTCACAGGAGGGGGTTGGCTTCTGTTGATTGGTACCACTGCACAGTGGGCCAGAAGAACGGCCAAAACTAAAGACGCGTTTTGAGCTCCAGGTCGCCCGAATTTCGGACTCGAACCGAACGTTGTGGGCCCCACCAATGAATTCCTGTTCGGAGAGAGCAATCCATTGTCCGCGACACACGTTCGGTTCCGAGTCCCATCTAAGCGATCTGGAGCTCAAAACGCGTGTAGAGTTTTGGCCGCCTCCACCGGTCTTCTGGCCCACTGTGCCCTGCCTGGGCGTTCCCTACCCAACCCCAGCCAGCACGGCGCCTGCAACGCGGGCAGGCGGGGCCAACTTAAGAAACCGAAACGCCCCGACATCGAATCGCTGCGCCCTGCGGCTGGCTGCACGCTGCTCTCCATTTTGCTCATCGCCATCAAGGCGCCATTGTGTGCCAATCGGGCTTCGTTCGCCGACGCGGCTTGGCGTTTCGCGCTCGGCTCCGCGGTTTGCCGTTTGCTGTTTGCTTTCGTCACGGCGTTGTGTTTTGGAGCAAGCCGCCTCGTTACTTGCAACCAGGGAACCTGGCACCTGCCTCTCTTCCCCCCCCCCCTCTCTCTCTCTCTCTCTCTCTCTCTCTCTCTCTCACGGGGCGTAGGAGTGCGAGAGCGGCAGGGCGATGGAACGGTTATTCACAGTGAGGCGGCAGCAGGAGAAAAGCGCGCGCCCTCGGTGGGACTCGAACCCGGGACGCCGCGCTGGCCCGGCAGGCCCTGCCCGGGACGGCCTTGACCCAACTGCAGCGGCCTGCATGCCACTGCCACCCCCTCGGCCGGTGCTGCAGACTGAGAGTCGTTTTCGTCGCTCTGTCTCTGCCGCATGTAACGCTCCATGAGTGCGAGAGAGACAGAGCGACGAAAACGACTCTCGGAATCAGCCGGCTGGCTGTGGGAGTGGGGCCGGCTTGGCTCGGCGGTGCGGCGGCCGGAGCTGGACACCGCTGGACACTGGCGGACCTTGGACCACTTGTTTTCACCTCGC